TCACAGTAAAGGAGAGAACAAAGCGCCTTGCTGGCTGGTAGTGGCCCATATTGGGCACTGCAAGGCCAGAGCCATTAGAAATGGGTTTTGAAACCTGCTCTTGAGTGTGAATTCCTCCCTCGTGAGCCGTTGGCACCAAGAAATGGCTTGACGTGTACCGCAGATGCTTCTTGCAAAGAGAGCAGTTGTGGAGGAAACGAAAAATATCACCCTTGTCTGGGAAACCGAACTGTTAAAAGTAATAAAGAAACGACACGAAGATGTCAGCGCTAGCTGCAAAGGCTGGGTGAGTCCCGGTGTCTTCTGTGCCCCTCGACGGCTTCAGTGGATGGAGACCCTGCTACCTTCGGAGGCAGTTCTCCCAATTCCAACGTTCAGTCAAAAATCCACATCTCCTGTGCAAACTCCTTCAGCCTTGACTCCCTGGGAAGGTTTTGGGTGTTGTGGTGTTTTTTTTTTTTCTGTGATTCAAGAGCCTTTTTCTGCTGGAAATCATCCCTTATACAGGTTTTTCACGCGCTGTCCCTCCCTGCCCGTCTGCTCTGGGGAGGATGGAGCTGAACGCCTTTCCTGTCCCGTAGTTATTGCAACTCCTTCCCAAGCCCCTCTGGAGTTGAACATAAACTCCCAGTGTGGGTTCTGGGACTGCAGCTGCCTAGTGCTGTACGTGAGCTCGTACCTCTGGGAGCCTGTGGGCTTTCCCTGCTGGAAGCTCGTGTCCGGCTGGGTCTCCTCTCTATCGGTTTCCGAACTGTGTTTTCTTTCTGGGTGTTTTTTTCTATCTGCAGTCTTTGTTTCTAGATTACTGATCTTCTGATTAATTCTCTGTCTTCACGGTTACTTAAGATTTCTTACCAGTCATTTTCATCTGCAAATATTACTGGTGTGACGATTTGCTTTGGTTTCTCCCGATCTGCGGTAAGGGTGTTGAACTAACGATGTGTTAAGGACAATCCTGGGGCAAAATCAGAAGCCCTGTGCAGGATGGTGCTCTCAGTCCCTCTTTCCACCGTGCCCACCAGTGAGCATTAATGGGTGACAACTCTTCCGCCAGCTGGGGCTGATCCTTACTGGGTTTGCAGGAGTTGCCTCCCTGGGCTCCGATGGCATGGTTTAACCTGGGACCGCAAACAGTTGCCAAGGCTGTAGATATCCTGGGTTAATGGTTTGAACCATTATCTAATGATTCGAAAAATCAGCATCCTGTCTTTTTGGCCAGGCTGGATGAGGCTTGGAGCAACCTGGTCTAGTGGAAGGTGGCCCTGCCCATGGCAGGGGGGTTGGAACTGGATGGTCTTTAAGGTCCCTTTCAGCCCAAACCAGTCTGTGATTCTATGAATCCTGGTTTTTTTTGAATGCGAATGATTCTCAGCCCCTTCTTCGCTCGTTCTTGGGTGTCATTTATGCAGCCCTGTGGGCTTTCAATAGTTGCTTTTTAGCATTTCCGCTAGCCACCAGTGTAATAGGAAATATTGGTTAATCATTTTCAGACAGACACGTGTCTGACTCTGCCCTGAACCTGATGAGAGCCTCTCCTACGCAGCGGTTCGCACTTTTATGGGTGGGGTTTTTTTAAATTTTATTTTCTGTCAAGTATGAATGATCTGGATCTTTGTTCAAGTCCTGCTTTCTTCGGTGCATTTCAAGCAGGTCACCCCTTTGGCCTTAAGTCCGCTGATACAAACTTTTAACTGCTGGCCGGTTCTCTTTGCTGTCCACGTAAATTTTAGCGTAATACTGTGTGTTGACAATAAGAGCTTCCACCCCCACTTTGTGGGCAAGGGAGGGTTGGAGGGGGTTCTGAGAAAATCCTCTTTTTCTGTCTGTGTAACTGTTGTCTTTGGTTTTTGGCAAAGGGGATCGATTCTCTGATAAAGGGTATGGAAGGTGTTTCTATTGGAAAATATTCCCTCCTGTTCAAATGACATAAGGCCACTGAAAACAGAGTGGGCATCTTGCAGACTGGGTGAAGAGGGGGATGGGGAGGCAGACAGACAAATCTGATGCCCTTTTTGTCCTCCTTTCCCACCCAGCTGTCCTTGTGCCATGCTTTAGGAGCGTTCAACCTTGTCTCAATTCTGTCTAGGCAAATTTTGTCTCTAGACCGAACAGATTCCCATGGCTCGTGTTGACCTACAGCAAACTGTCCCACCATTATTACAAAAACCCTGCTAATACCATGATTTTGAGCAGCAGGAAGCCAGCAGAACACGGAGCCCGCAGGCATCGTGCCGTGCTGCACAGGCACAGCCCCGCTTGCTGCGGTCTTCCCGCCTGTATCGTCTGGGCGACCTCTGAAGGAGGTGACAGTGGAAACAAAGAGTGACAGCAGGAGCACTCAATAGAGTCCTAGGCAGGGAGAAGTCTCTGAAAGTAAGCTGTGCACCAAAAATGGTCCTTTGATGGTGAAATAACCCCAACCTTTGGCTTGCCACAACGCATGGTGTTAGCAGGCTGTTGGCCTGAGCGTCTGAAAGAGAAGATGCAGCAGACACGGCTGAGATGGCTTTCATTGGTTTCGTTGTCTCTGCCCTCTCACCACCCATAAAGAAAGCATCTTTGTGAAGATAGGAAGCAGTGGGTGAGAAATAAGTATGCTTCTGACATTTAAGGGAGACTGCTGCTACGCTTGCAATCCCTCCAAGGTAAGCTGTCTGCATTGAACGCAGTGTCGGAAACACCTTGGAGTGGATCATCTCCAAGCTGTGTGCTCGAAGACTTCCGACATGCTTGTCAGCAACGCCTCCAACTTTGGGGGAGTCCTGGCCCTCAGTCCCCGCTCCCTGAGCCATCGCTGTGTTTCACAGCAGTTGAATGGGCCATGGAGGGCATTGAAGCAATTGGCGTTCCCTGACACCCACGTCCGTGTTGCGAAGAGCCCCGGACGCGTTGTGCTCGCTGCTCTGAGAGCAAGGGGGGGCACGCACTGACTGCTGGGTGAGTGCCCCCACGCCTGGCTGAGGTGCCCACAGCAGCAGCGGGGCTGGGGCGCTGTGCAGGCGGCGTGGGGGAGAGCGTGCTGACAGGGGATGCTTGCCCAGCCGTCCTGCTGCCTCTCTTGGCTCCCTGTGCCTCGGAGGCATCTCCCTCTCCGTGCCCAGGGCTGGCTAGTGGCCTGGAGCTCACCATGTGGCACGGGAGGTGTGGAGCTGAGCCCTTTGTTTGACCCTCTGGTTGTAGGAGTGGATGGGGACCTGTCCTCGAGCTGCATGGGGAGCACCCTTCTGGGATGCAGAGAGGACTGCGGGAAAGTAGGCACGGCCAGGCTCTAACTGCTGGAACCGGATTCATGTTGCTTTTGTGTCTTTTATGTCGGAAACCTAGAAGTACGAGGAAGAGCCGGATGGGTTGCTGAAACCTCTGGTGCTGCGGATCGCTGCTGCAGCAGGCAGCTGTGGTGAACATCTTCAAAAAGTAGTGGGGTGTCTGGTGGTGCAGGCAAGGCTTTGAGGATGTCTGACTTACCGGTGCGGTTGGAGACGAAGCTGCTTTGGAGAAACAAGTGTGCACGTGTTGTTACAGCATGCTGTTCTCAGACCCCGGTTTTGATGCTCAAGATGAAAGCCTGTGTGTCCCACCGCTTCCCTCAGCCACAGAGGAGAGAAATCTCTGGTTTGCTCTTTGTTTGAAGCATTTCCTTTTTTTAAACACTAGCCCATACAAATAGGCACTTCAGTGAAGGTCTGTAAAATGGAAGAGCAAACTGCTGTTTATAATCACGTGTAAGTCTGTAAAACTGTGGGAAATGCACCTGTAAATCTGTGGGGAAATTTCATTGCCACCACTTAGGAATCTGCAGTCAATGAGGAACGGAAATTAAGGAATGGAAATGTCCCTGCCTCTCCTCATTATGGTTCTATAATGAGCTCTTATTAGTGCTGGCCCTTACAGCATAGCCTGGATTCTGGATCCTTTCTTGGAAGACGAGGGAAGTTCTAGGGAGCTGAGCAGCACAGTGTCTACCGCAGGCTTTAATCACAAGTTACTCAGCCACGTTAGGTCCTGCTGCAGTGCTCAGCATTGACCTGAAGGGATGACAAAAAAACCTGTCCCTCTCCAAGGCTTCTTCAGGTCAGGACTGGGATTAGGGATAGTATTTGCACAGGGAAGAAGGGCAGCAGAACCTGCCAGAAGAGGCTGTTTGTGTCCCCAGGCACCCTGTGTTTCCCACGTTGCAGCACGCTGCTGGTTCATCCTGGCCAGTGCCCCACAGTGATTTGATGTGGGTGAAGGCAGCCCTGCTGGGGCTGTTAACGCTGGGGCTGGAGCACTGACCATCTCTTCCTCTTCTCAGTTAGCTTGGCTGTTATCACAGTCGGATGGTGTCTGACACAGGGTCTGTGCCCTGTGGAGCAGCCAAGGAAAAGGCAGGATGTGCAACAGCAGTAAGTAAATTGTCTTGCGTGAGATGAAGCAATTCCCCAGCACCCACAGCTGTGTTTGGGATCAGGTCTCCATCCTCCTGCCGAGGGGACGAGTCCTCAGCTCTGCCTATCTCCCCTTATGCTGGATTCCAGAGGTTTTGTTGTTCCTTCTGCTCTGCTTGTGCTCCAGGACACCGCAGTGGAAAAGCAGCTGCCTCTGCCCGAGTGGGCTGCTGGAAAGGGTGGTTGGCTGATGGGTGCACGCTGGGCTGGTTACTCAGCACCTGGCTGGCAGCACAGCCGTCGTGTGCCCCACAAGCGAGCGCCCCTCCTTCCCCAGCCCAGCTCCGAGCGTGGTTTTGTGCGAGCAGAGCCTGCTGCCGGGCTGGTCCTGCGGTGTGGGAGGAGCAGGCGGGTGCCCAGAACCTGCAGCCGAGGGCGGAAACTCTTTGGGGTTTGCTGTTGATGCTTGAGGCTTTCAGAGAGTTGCAGCATCCGAGCTGGGTGTTCGCTGCTGGAGTGATGCAGGCATATAAAGGCAGAGCTGGGTCTTCCCCCAGGGCTCAGTCTGGGACAGCCCCGGCAGTTTTGGGCTGCCGCATGGAAGACAGCGCCAAGCACGTCCAGCCCATCCCACTCCCAGCTATGCAGCAGAACTTGAACTACGTGTACCCCCAGATCTTTTGGGTGGATGGCTGTGTGAACACAAGTACTTCCTGCCCCCCGGCATCCCCCGTCGCTCCTTTCCCACCACCGGTTCCCGATCGGAGGAGAAAGCCAAGGAACAACAGGGAAAGGAGGAGCGTTGGCTTCCTGGTGGTTTCCTTGCTGATCCTGCTGGCCCTCACTGGAGTGGGGCTGAGCATGTTCCAGATCTTCCACCTGGAGAAGGAACTGGCTGAACTCAGAGAGGTGAGGTCTGCCTGGCTGGTCACAGAGGCTCTGGGGAAACAGGAGAAACAGGAAAACCTTAAAACCGGGTCTGAGCTGCGCTGGTGGTGCCAAGCTCCCGCGGGGCAGGCTGGAGGTATTTAAGTGTCTGCTGTGCCAGCGTAAGTGGGGTTGCTTGTTACTGGGGGGTCTGTTCTACTGGTGTCTGATGTATCTGGGTGTCTTCGTGTTTGAGTGCCGCGAGGTCTCTCTCACCGTATTATTTCTTAGCGCTTTGCTGCTCCCTACGAGCGCCCAGAATTAGCTGATGCCAAAGGTAGTCCTTGGTGGCTTTAGGGAATGTTGTTACGCTCCGACTCTGCTAAGACAGCGTGTCACTCTTCTCTTCTGACAGGCTGCCAGCACTGAACACATCCCTCCAGCTCTGGAGAAACTCATAGGTGAGTTGGTGTGCGTAGAGGAGGAACTCCCATGCGTTAGGGAATGCTCCTGTCGAGCTCTCCCCTCTCCTCAGCGGCGGCGAAGGCAGCAGGGTCGCGGCTCGGTGCTCTGAAAGTGCTGATTTCACTTGCTTAGCTGGGAAAAGAGCTTCATCTCTGGGTGTGGGGATGGGGTCGTGCCTGCTGGGGTGGTTGGAGGTGTCGGCCACAGGCTCCTGGGACAGAGTGCCTCTACCCTGGGGCCTCCCAGGCTCAGTGGGGCAGCGGTACCAGGGGTACTCTGCGGAAAAAGTGGGTGCCTGGCCGTCCTAACGTATAGCAACAGCACGAGAGGAAGGAGGAGAACCGATACGGGCACTGCACGCGTTGCTTCTTTCCCTCCTTCTCTCTTACGGTTTTGGGAGGATGCAGAGGGTTTAATTTTCTTTGGGGTTGGGGGGATTCACTCCCACCCTTGAGAGCGCAACTTCGTTTTTCCTAAATTCTTCTGGTACAAAGTCTCACTGCAGCCAGAGCTAGTTGAGAAGAGCCTGATTATATGTGGGGTTGTTTTTGGTTTTAGAAATGTCATTTCAGTGAAATTGAAACTTTCCACAAGACCCTGCTAATTTTTCTAAAAAAAAAAAAAAAAAAAGTGTCTTTCAATCTGAATGGAACAATTTAAAAATCACATTTTGAACTGCCAAACTATTATTTTACTTTCACATTCCATGTTAATGTTAGCAGTGAGGATATCCCTTCTTGAAGATGGCCAAGTTGGAAAGAAATTTTCAGCTCTCTTGACAATTTTTGCTAGATCTGAAAAGTTTGGAGTGGTTTGGTTTTTTTTGTTTGTTGTTGTGTTTTTTTTTTCTTTCCCTCCTTTGAGGATTTTGGTTAGAAGGAAAGTTAATTTCAGGTTTGTTCTGATACTGAATGATGGCAAATTCAGAAATAGCAAAATTCTCTGGAAAGGGCAGTCCTGGTTCCCATCAACTCCCCTACCAATAAATATTGTAATCTATTGCTTAGGGGAAGGGAAGCTGTCACTTTAACTGGATGGTCAGTGCTCTCATCACCGACTACTTTAGCAGTAGCAGAACATAAGTCATAGATAGTAACCCTGAATTTCTTGAGGGGTTAAATAAATAATAAATATTGGAGAAATAAATAGGAGAAGGGGGAGAGGAAAATGTAACTGTCTTGAGAAAAGATAAAGACTGCTTCTAAAATTGGAGAACATGATGCTTGGAAGTAGATGAGGAAAAGAAGGAAGGAATGGGGTGGGATCAAATACTGAGTAACCAGCCCATCTCTCCAAGGGGACCTGAGCCCTCCAGGGAAGGCAGAATTTTCCTAGCTGTGCTCTCCCTCTCTGAGGACAAGGTCTGCCTGGCCAGTGGGTGGGTTTGCAGGATGTCTCGGGTGTCTCCTCTGATGTAGTTGTAAGGAGGGTTGGTTCCCAGCAACATAAGTCCACTGCCATGGGTACCTCTGCCCTTGGCAGTGCTGGAGTGGAGGGGGGCAATAGAGCAGGTTCCTCTACGACAGGACATAAGCCATCCCCTTGGCACGGGTCAGAGGTGCTGGGTAAGGGGACAGTATTGTCCCTCTCCTACACCCTGAGTGGGAGGCCTCTGCTTGAGCTCACCAAGCCATTTTGAGATGAAAACTTTCCTTTCTCTTTAAAAAACCTTTGCTGCATCTCCTCCTTTTAAACTCCTTCTCTTGACCCGCAGTATTACCCCAAACACTGCTCTGCCTCACTCTGCTAAGCCGCAGTGCTTATGTGCCCCGTGCCGCTCTGAACCTGCCCCGTCTCAGCTTTGTGGCTGGATCCCTTCTGCTCTCTGGGCTGGCTTTTCCATGGAACCTATGGCTAACGTCTTCCCTATTTTTGTGCAGGGCAGAAGGAGCAGTCGATGAAAAAGGAAGCAAGGAAGGCAGCACACTTAACAGGTACGTGCTGAGGGGCCAGCAAGATGTGGGAGCAGGGGATATGCAGATGTGGCTGGGGTTGGGAGGGTGGCATGGTCACAGTTGTGAGGAGCCCACCTCACACCCCTATTTCCTTTGGCCACAACATGTGCTTGGACAGTGGGAAGTTACTCCACAGCTAAAACCTTCTCTTCACTTTTAGGGTTTTCCATGAGGGCTCTGTTTTTCAGTTTGGTTTTTGGTTGGTGGGTGGGGTGTGTGGGGCAGAAGACTGTAACAAGTGGCTCACGCTGAGTAAGGTGAAGATGAGAGCTCCCACCGGTGCAAGGTCGGGGAGGACTTTCCATACTGCAAACCAGGGCTTGGGGAACAGTTGGCTTGTGGTGACACTGGGTGTGACTTGAGCAAAAAACCAAACTGCTAGTACTTACCACTTTTTCCTCTTGTTTCACCTACCAGGGAACCCAGACCAGCGGGATCTCCCTCTGGAGTGGGAACCCATCTCTGGCCATGCCTTCACCAATGGCATTCAATACCGTGATCAGGGCCTCATCATCAACGAGACCGGCCTGTACTTTGTGTACTCCAATGTGCTCTTCGCAGTGTCTGCAGCAGCCAGGTGTTGACCCACATTGTCTACAAGAAAAACCCAGCCTCGCCGGGCAGCCACGTGCTGATGGAGGACAAAGGCATCAACTTCTGTACGGGTCAGAAAACATGGGCCCGAAAAAGCTACCTAGGGGCTCTATTCAAGCTCAGGAAGATGGACAGTTTGTATGTCAACGTCTCCAAAATTGCTCTGGTTAACTTTGAGGAATCCAAGACATTCTTTGGCTTATTTAAGCTTTAAATGGGGCTGTTGGACCATGGCTGGCAGACTCCCCCCACACACTAGGACACGTGAGGGGTGAGTGCTGCCTGAGTGACAGTGACCAAACTGGGGTCTCGCACCGCAAAGCCCCTCAAGAAACCATGTTTTGACCTCCAGTGTGAGAGGTCTCAAGCAACTGGTAAAGGCTTGAAGGTGGACCTCCAGGATGCACTGGGGCTGTATTGCGTCAACCTGAAGAGAATTGCACATTTTCCCCTCTGAAGAAAAACATAGTGTGCGGAAGACCCCGTTAAAACTCACTACTTGCTACCTGAGAAGGTGATGAAGTCAGTAGCCCCACATGGTGTCATGGCACTGGTGAGCTTGGGCCAGCAGATGTGTGGGGACAGCCGGTGGGTGTCAAGGAACCAGGGCTGTGGTGCTTGGGCTGTGCTGTGCGCACTCCCAAGCAGTGGTGTGGGAATGAGTAGCATGGAGGCCTCAACTGCTCACCCCAAGCCATGGGCTGGCCGCCCTGCCCAGGCAACTGACACTGTGACTGCTGCACGACAGGCCTCTGCCTGCTAGCTGGCTCATTACGCACGATATGTTCACTTTGCGTTAAGTTATCAACTCTTCCCATTCCAGAAAATGTCCCCCAACCCTGTTATTTAACTCATCCCAGCTGCCATGCAAGGGACATGCCAGAAGCAACGGTGCCATGAGGGGGTCCCATGACCACGCTGGGGTGGTGGAGCTGATGTGTAGGCTGCCCGCTCTGCTGACAGGAGCTGAGCAACACAGCGGTGGAGGGCAGTGCGGCCCGAGATAAAGCAGCATCTCCAATCCCCTTCCCAAACTTTTGGCACATCATGGTCCCCCATGGAGACCTAGTCTTGCCACACCCTGCACGGTGCAGGTGGGGTGTGCTGGTCACCATCAATGGCATGGCTTCGGCTGGCCCCCTTGTCACGGGATATTGTCTCCTGAGCAAAACACAGATGGTAAATAAAGGTATATTTTTCTAGTAAGTGGCACTGTCCTCTCCTCATTTGGGACAGCAGGCTTCTGCAGTGGCCAAAGCCCCGAAAGCATCAGTGATCAGGGGCCAGCACCCCACTCCTGGGCCAGCAAATCCTCTTGGCCTGTAGCAGCGTGGGCAGAAATCTGGGAGCCTGACCCCATTTTTCTGCCTGGCTGGCAGGGCACAGAGTCCCTGCCACGGAGCTTTGGGGCTCCAGCATCAAAACATCAGAATCTGGGGACCAGGGAGGTGTGATGTGGGCAGCACGTCAGGCAGCCCAAACCCAGTTTCTCCATCAGGAAGGGGACAGATCTCAAAACAGAGGCTCGAGCAGAGCCAGACACTTCTGCTGAGCAGAAGCGCTGCCGTCCCCAAAGGCACCGTGCTCCTCCGTGTGCCCTCCGGCCCCAGCAGCACTTCCCACGTGGTAGTCTGAAGGTCAAGGAAAAAAAAGTGGTGCTTTGGTGTTTAAAAAACCCTGTTTGCTCACTCTGGTGTCTGGTCCATGGGGTTTTTTCCCTTGCATGGGTTATCCAGGGCTGTGTGCCACATTGCCACCAGGCAGGACAGGAGGGCTGCAGCTGGGGTGCATCATCATCATCCTCTTGGCCTGTGGTCCAGCCTTCTCGCATCTCTGAGGTTGATGAGTGCGCGGGGGCTCTTCAGCAGCCCGCAACACTTATTTCCTTTTCCACGGTTCTGTTCTCGTCTTGCTGCTGTGTGGCCTGTGGTTTGCTGTTGCTTGCTTCAGGGAAACCTGTTTCTTCAAAACTGAGAAGTGGACTGGCTACCGGTGCGGCCAGCGGGAAGCGGGCGCTGCACCTCTGCTCACGTTGCTGCGCTCGGATATTTCCGCTGCGTTTCTCGGGATGGAAAATGCCTCAAAAGGTCAAAGCTTAGGGATGTTTTTGCTTGATTGATGCTCTCGCTGTCCCCACCCCCTCCTAGTGTCAGAGAGACATACCACGTAGCCCAGGGATGGAGGCGCTGGATCCAGACCTGCCAGGAAAGGCAGGATGCGGCAGTTGCTATTGCTGCACATCAGGAGGGGACAAGGATCTGTTAGTCTGTCTGCCTGAAACGCTGAAGGCGGTGCAGACCTGCACGTTTCGGCACAGTGGGGTGGACAGCCGTGTTATAAATAGTGCTGGGATATCCTGAGGTGGAGAGAGCTGGCTTATCCGTGCAGGGTGAGGTGCTGCCCGGCTTGTTCCTGAGTCAGAGAGCGGCTGGGACTGTTGAGTCAGTGGCACGGCTGCCAGTAATACACGTGTTTCTTCTTCCTGATCCTTTCCTCAAATATCGCTCTCAGTTGCGCAGAGCAAAGCCACTGCTTAGCTTACGGGCCACAAGTCACAAGTTCAAAGTGAGGTCAGGGCAGGATTATACAATTCCCAAATTTCATAGAGTGCTTGTGTGGCAACAGCTTTATTGAAGTCATCTGTTTGTCTAGCTAATGGGGCCATTCCCTTAGTGAAATACTTGCTTATTGTTAGAGTGAAGTACTTAATGGATATTTAATGCTGACATTATTAATAGCTCTGTGTCTATATTTAAATGTATTCAAATTATTGATGTTTATTTTGAAATTGTCAAGTGTTTTATTCCCTTACCAGCAAGGGAAGGGTATCTACACTCAAAAGAATATCCCAACTCCATTGGCAGGGCTGGCCATTGTGACTTTTATTTTGTTTTAAATAAGTGACTCTTCCTTGCAGGTCATGTTTCTGGGTTGCAGTAGTTGAGCTGAGCTCCTCTCTCCCGGTGGAGCAGCCCGGGCCATGTGTGGAGGTACCCTAGAGTTTAGGCACTATTTAATGGGGCTCCAGAGAGACTCTGCTCTGTGGAGAACATGCTGACAAGAAGTGACAAGCCCATATCATCTCCTGGTAAGAGGTTTCTGGTCTGCTCCCACTGCCCTGGGGGTCTTCTGGGGTTCACATCCTTCCTTCCTTCCTAGGCACAGGAGTGTTTTCCTGGCTGGCGCTGAGCCAGCGGACACGTTGCAGGCACACAGCCAGCCCGTGGTCTTCTGAGCCCGTTCCAGGAGGTGCCTGTGCCTTTGGGTGTGCAGCCGGCCAGAGCAGGGTTCTGCATGACATAGAAACTTGTGGCTGAGCAAAGTTTGCTGCCTGATAGCGATATGATCTCTTTTGTGGTTGATGTGTATCAGATGCTGCATCCTATTTACCTGTTCCCGTAGAGGAAAGGGGTGGGGGGCAGAATGTCGTAAAAACCTTGGTAGGCTCCATACGTATGGTAAGCAAGGTGGCAGAAGGGACTGCAGGGCCATATGGACAGGGTCATTGCTTCTCCTAAAAAGCACAGGGAAAGCAAAGGGATGCCCGGTGAGGTCTGGGAGTCAGAGCATAAGCGGAGAGGCGAGGCAGGATGAGCAGTGCGCATGGCTGGTGCACAATGGGTGCTGCTGCACAGTGGGTGCTGTTTCCCACAGATCCGTGGAGCTGGGAGGTGGTGTGTGGGCAAACAACCCTGCCAGGGACTGCTGCAACTCTGCTTTCCCCAGCGGAGAAATCCCAGTCAGAATGGGAGAAATATCCCCTGGAGAGCTATGACCAGCATCCCTCGTAGCAATAGTGCATATTGCATCCCCGTCTCCTGACTACTCACCAGTTCACGGTCACTCGTGGTGGGGGGTTGGGGGGGAGGTGGCTGGTGCACAGCAGAGGCCTGGAGCACCTGGAATGCAGAAGCAGAAGGAAGAGTTGCTGATCTCCAGCTGATCCCTGGCATGTGCTGAGGCATCAGAGTGTCAAGAGACAAGAAACGGAGCCACAACGTGGACTGCTCTTGCAGGCTTGCTTGGATACACATCTTGGCTCAGAAACCTCACAGCTTGGTGATTGTCGTTAGCTGGAGCTGTCACTGCTGAGATGTGTTATAAGTGACTGTTTCTGTAGCCCTCCCAGGGAGAAGAGAGCGTATGAGTAAGAATGGAAGAATTGATATGTCTGAAGCCACTCAAATCCTGTGAGTTCAGACAGCAACCTCCTATGTGATCTGACAAGTTTCGTTGTTGCTTTGGTTGGTTTTTTGAGGGTTGCTTTTTGGTTTTCGTTGCTTATTCATTTACCTGAAGCCAGCCTTAGCCTTTCTAAGTTTCTGTTGTAATGTCTCGTGGAGTTATTTCTTCCAGCCCACGGAGCAATGACGACTCTGCCAAATTTTTACCAGGTTGGGAAAGAGCATTGGCTAGTGGTTAAAGAGAGGAGAAAAAGGGAAGGTAGGTAAACTTAAATATTGCTATTATTTTTCTAGTGGCCTGACACGTGAGCATATTACATCATGGTTAAAAAAGTGTAATTTCAGGCATGACTAAGTGACTGAGGTTTAACACAAAAGGGAGGATGAGGTGAGTAAAGAGAGAGGAGGAGTTTTGATGGAAAGTGAGGTAATGTCATGGTTTACCCCCAGTCAGCAACTAAGGACAACACAGCCACTCCAGTGAGATGGGGGAGAGAATCAGAGGAAAACAAGAGAAGCGAAATCGTGGGTTGAGATAAGAACAGCTTCATAATTACGTATTCTTAACACTATTATTTTATTTCATTTATTTTTAATGAAAAGAATATTAATTATATGCTACTACTACAGTAATAATAACTATAATAATATGTAACAAAAAGGAAAAAAACAATGAAAAATAAAGAAAAAGCCCAACTATACAACCACTCACCACCCACTGACCAATGCCCAGCCAGTCCCCAAGCAGTGAAAGAGGGAGAGCCTGCGAGAGCCCCCAGCCAACTCCCCCCAGCCTATATGCTGAGCATGATGTTTTATGGCATGAAATGTCCCTTTGGCCAGCTTGGGTCAGCTGTCCTGGATGTGTTTTCTCCTAGCTTATTGTAGAGAAGAAGATGGGAACAGAGGTGCAGCATGAGAAACCGGAAAACTCCTTCACTTAACATAAACATCGATTGGCAACAACTAAAAGCATCGGTACATTGTCAGTGTTCTTCTCAGCACAAATCCAAACCATAGCCCCATACTGGCTACTGTGAAGAAGATTAACTTTGCCCCAACCAACACAAGCACAGGC